CTAGCTGGGCCCCCTTTCGATGAAAGGAATGGTCGGTGCACTAGCATCAATTGAAAGTCATTGGCCTCCTATATTTACACTCTACTGGAAAGGAGAAAAAAAATCTTGAGAGAAAAGTGACACATGTGATTCCAAGTTGCCAAATATATGTAATAGATGTATAGATAGATTCTCTATTCCGCTTTCGTTGTTGTACACTTCATAATTTCAAAGGTGTGGAATCAGTACAGGCGCACAGCTAGTGAACGGAAACCTCACTTGTTTACAATGGCGTCATAGAGTTAGAAGACGGACTTTCCCAAGATTAGATCTAAACGAAACTAATGAAAAACTGAAAAGTAAACTACAGTGACTTCAGGCTGCCCAATAAAACTGTGCACCCTTTAAATGATTCTGAACCATGATTATAATTTTTTTCAAATTCGAAAGTTAAGTGGTTTGGAAGTTTTAGGCAGCGAAAGTGACAAACTTTCACAAATATAATATTTATAGAAAATGACACTGTACAAGACTACCACACGTCTAAGATGGCCACTTTTCTCCTCGACAATGGGTGGCCATCTTAGACAATTTCGACTGAATTCAGAATGCACAGGGGAGTAAGACAAGGTTGCAGTATGAAGACTGTGTGGAGAAACAGCCCTGATTTAACTGTGAACAAATCTGAACTGAGAAAACAAGCCTAAGAACAGTAGCATTTTCAAAATGACGACATTAAAATCAGTCAGATTAACACATGGAGCTTAATTTGACGCTGAATTATCTATTCGCATTCTTCGTATTTATACACTGGGATCCTATTATAATGAGAGGGAAGGGACTGGGGCAAAATATCCGTTATAGCAGGATTCTCGTTATAAGGGATCCAGTAATAAAATAAAATGAAATAATAAAGTATGCCTAATCTATGAGTTTGGAGTTCTCTTTATGTCTTTTTGTTATCTCTCCCCTGATGATGATTTTGTTCAACATGACCTCAAGGTCCAGCTCGATCAAAAATCGAATCAGATATCTTTCTTAGCCCTAGTGATGCTAACAGCTCGGCGTTGGCGATCAGAAGTTAGAACAATACAGGCCCGCGGGTACACAGTGGTCAAGTTTGGTATAACTGGTCTTGATTCAGGTGACGAATGTGCTAGATATCTAATATTTTTACTTTCGATTATGATTTCTATTTTGATGAATATGCAACCATCACATTCAATTTTATCAAAGTGCTGAAAATTTCACAATGATCGAGATGTTTTTTTCCAAGATACAGGTATAGTATTGATGTACCCCATCTGCATCCTGGACAGTGGGGACAAAGGTTTTGCGCTCTGCACCCAGCGTGGGGGAAAAGTGTTAATGTGCAGCGGGATCTATTTTTAAGCACTGTGTGTTTTGGTGCAACAAACCTTGATTTCAGACTTTTCAAGGCCAGTTCCTTGTTCTTTATTTGGGATCGCTCTTGTCTACACTCAGCAACAGTTCCTGACGATGCAAAACATAAACTGTAAACAGGCATGAAATGTGAACAAAAGAATAAAAAGAAGGCTTTGAACCTAAAGAGGTTATAAATGTGATGGAGGCTGCACCGTGGGCCACAACGCGTGTCAGGTAGAAGCCATCTCTCGCAGGGGAACCATGG